TGCCGCTACTAGTCCATTCATATCAGCTGGCACGATGTAAACACGAGAGGAATCGTGGCACAGCGAGATGTAGCTTTGCACCGCGAATCATCTTCAGCTGATATTGCGAACGTTATGCGCGACGTTGCTTTAATTGGCTTTCGGTTAAAGAGATATGGTAGGGCTTGTGTCAATTATTTCTCTTGAAAAAAAAAAGGAATTTATCGCGTCTGATAAATTCCGATAAAGATCGAAATTACATTCCTATTATGAGAATAAACACGCCCTGGCTCTCCCTTTCTCTCTCTCTCTCTCTCTCTCTCGAGTAATCGAATTTTATATTTCGCAGAAATATATTAAATGCAAATATGTTATATAATATATGTATATGTAAGAGAAATTCCCCGTTAGAAATCTACTCGGATTACACTCAATGAATATTTGAAGCGCCGAGTTGCTTAAACACTCGAATCGCATTCCATTAATATCTAAAACATTGAAAGAAAATCCACGACATTTCCCCTCATTGAAATTTAAAATATATAACATTGTAAATTTTATTCAAATTATATTCTATATATTTCCGACATTATATACTTTGAATGAATATTCAAATTTATGAAAATTCACGGGAAACAATCCTGGTTGCGACGACCGAATGCTAGGGGATGGAATGCGAATTGCATCGCGATGCGCCTTTGACACCGCGCGTCGATACACGTCGGGGAAAAAAGCGGAAAAGCGACGGTGTCGCGCGTGACCATTCGGTTTAAAGACCTTGAGAGGCACGCGGCGAAAAAGAGCATTCTTTTGCTGCCACCGACAGCGAGTGTGCCTGGCGGCGTTATGGTTGACGCCCTTTCTCGGTAGAGAAGTTGGCGAGAGGGCAGAACACCTGTCGTTATAAATTACCGCGATGTGTTACGAGTAATGTGGGAGGGTGTCGCGCTTTTGCCTTCCTCATCCCCGTCAGAATTTCACACCCTTCCGTCTCGCGTTTCGTACGTATATCTATATATATGCTCCTGATCCTTAAGTAATAATTCGGCAAAAGGATTTTGTGCGCAATTAAATGTACGAAAAAAATATGCCAAAAAAAAAACATAAGGAGCATCTGCAGGATTTTTTCCAGGAGGGGGCGCGATACAAATTTGTTTCATCCCTTATTTTTTGTTCTTTCTTAATTTTTTGAAATTTATTTATTTTTTTATATTAATTGCACAAGTAAATACCAGTGTGTTTATTCAAAAGGAGAGCAAATGCTTAATTTTTTCACTGACTCCATAAGGAGGAGCAAACGCACCCCTTGTTAAAAGCATCGGGAATAATAACATTTATTATTATATGTCGCCGAAAAAATGAATGAGTGAAAGGGGTGAAAAATACAGTGTGCCAAAGTATAAATGTTCTAGAGAATAAATGTACTTTGCGTCATTTTTTTTTTTCGTCCGTACGTTCCACGTGACATGCAAAATGCACCGCGCAGACAGATTCAATATTTAAGAACTTGAATAGTTGAGGAATCCAGGACACGTGTTGAGAAACTTGCGGACCGTATAGTAGACGGCGAAAATTCGCGAAACCTCGAACGTGAAACTTATTTCGTCATTAGTATAGACGCTTGGAAGGAGAACCGAAATCTCGGCGCGCGGGAATCTCTCCGTTTCCTCGCGTAACGGAGCGAGGAATTATTTTCGAGGGTGGGTATTATTACGGAAGCCGAGAGGGAGAGAATCTCCGCGCGACGTTATCTCGGCGCGGGCCGAGGCAACCCCTCGTCGCGGCAACGAAATTCAGAATACGTCACTGCGGTGTCAACCCCCGCGCGGCAGGCAGAGGGGTCGTGTGCACCCTTCTCCGATTCTGTGTGTGTGTGTGTGTGTGTGCGTGCAAGCGCGCGCGGACCGCGACGTATGTGTGGCGGTGAGAGGAACGCGCGGAACGCTTTATGAATGGAATTATGTTTCCACGCCAAGTGTGGCGAGAGAGGCACCCGTGTGTCCCGCGTGTAAACACAATAATACCGACGTTTCCATTCATCAGGTCGACCCCGCCGGAGCGGAACGACGACCTCGAGAAGTGCCTTTGGAGGCGCCACGTGAATTGTGTGTGCGTGCGTGTACGCGTCTCTACCCTGTCTGAGTTTGGATTCTCCTTTTTATTTTTCGCTCTTTCTCTCTCTCCAACCCCCTTCGCGCGAGAGACTGTTTAAAGGGCGATTCGAATCGAGATTCTGCCGTCCTCGGGCCAACCTCGATTCATTAATCGCTCCTGCAGCTGTTTCCATCGCAAGGGCCAAGGCTATCCGATTAGGTCAATTTGATGATTCTTGAAATTTCTCCCCCTTTTTTTTTTTTTGAAGATATTGCAATTGCGCGTCTGATTTTTATTCGTAAATATTTAATTACTGTATAAAAAATCAAAGATTTAGCAATGAGGAATAATATTATTCGAAATTGGAAAAACAGAATATTCTGTTTTTTATAGATGTATCAAATAGTGGGAAACACTGAAATAATATTTAAATACATATGGCGAAAGGGAGCGAATATTTTTTTGCAATTACCAGCATGGGAAATAATTGCAGATACCGGACCACAAATACACAAAATACATATATACACGAATAAAAATGGATGCGGAATCTCTAACATACATATTTATATAATTTTTTTTGCGGCCTGTCAAACCGGTTGAAGGCTAGATCGCGTAATTTGTATCAACCGACGCGCAACCCGTTCCAAAATTAATGTAACTGTTAAATAACACGGAATCGGATGACAAACAGCTTACTAATCTTGTTTGCGTATAAAATCGCTAATGACGAGCTCCCGGATTCAACAGGTCGACCGTGCGTTGCGATACGAACCTGCATGGTCTTTGGAACTAGTTTTAGAGATATCGTGTCACGTGTAGCACGTGTTCTCTCTCGTTTCTCTTTCTTCTACGCGTCTCCTTCTCAAGAGATCGCTATTTAAAGGGCGATTCGCGGATGCGGGTTCCTTGTCGTGGATTTCTGATCGCGACGTTCGCGGGATAATACGCGAAATTCGCCTTTTATTAGCGATAATACGTAATTGTCATAATTGTGATTCAGCAACAACTGCGAGACAGAAACAATTTTCCCAGGCTCGCTTATATTTTATTTCATCGATTTTTATTTGAAATAAGATGTTATGAAATAAGACGCGGACACGCTGCAATTACCGTAGAATGATAGGGTGGAGTAAGAGGCGGCTTCAAGGGAAACGCATATACACGCCGTCGTCGATATTGAAACATTTATATGTATGCCTTACGCAAATTGTTTGGTTTCTCTTCTCTATCGATCTCTATCGATGTAAGAGACTTTTTATCTCGACTTGGCGGTGATATGGCCGTAGAATTGCGTATATGTATAATTTCCCACTTTTAACGCATCAAATATTTACGTCAGATTCTTTTAAAAATTTAGAGTCGACTCTTCCTTAGTAAAAAAAAAAAGAAAGGAAAGAAAGAGAAAAAGAAAATCCAGAAAAGCTCATAACTGCAAAAATATTTGCTACTAAATTTTTTTTTTCACGAACCGAGCTTCATAGATAGAATGAAGCATTTAAGTCGCGCTTAATCTTTTACCTAAAGGGATAAAAGATATTAAGTCTCACGTGCATTTTCGCGTTACTCACGTCGCTGCATCGTGACGATTAATGCGATAAATGCGCTAAAATGCACCGTCGACGAATGAGACGGTCGGCTTTGCAACGGACATTCATTTTGTAGCGCATCTACATTTCTTATGACTTTATACTTAATTCAGGTCCTCGTAGACTTCCGGGAAGTATTACGAGAGGGAGAAAGAGGAATACGCATCCTACAAGCACATATATACATATATATATATATTTATATATATATGTTTCGTGTACATACATATATATATATATATATATATATATATATGTATGTATGTACACGAAAGTGCGTGTAGCTCTATGAGCGCGAGAATATAAATGTGCGTTTGTATGTGTGTTTGTGTGCGCAATATTACGTCGCGATCAAGAGCATATACCTTCTCGTCGCCAAAAGTACTCTCTTTCGAAAGACTACTCTTCGACACATGGCGCGGTAATATGAAAACCGTGTGTGTTTACCACGCGGCGACAACTCTTGCGACAGAAGGTGGGAGAACGCGAAGAGGAAGGAGGGATTAATTTAGGTTTAATTTTAATCAAGTCGCCCCGCGACTTTAATTTGTTTTTCTTTGAGGCAAGATTTTTGCGCGCGTTATATGTGTAAGCACACACACACACATATATATATATATATATATATATATGCGTATGTAACATATACACCTACGACGCGAAAGTTTCCATGTTACGGGACGGGCTTCTGTCAATGTTGCGAGTTACGTTCACCCGTGGGAAATCTGCTCACGGATGCGGCGCGATCCAATACATTTTCTTTATACACTTTACTCTCGTAATTACGAAATAAGCAAACACCCCGGATTATGAAGAGTCTCTCTCCGTCCGCGCGCGTCTCTCGCTCTTCCGGTGCTGCCTCGCTGATGCAATTCTGCGCGTCCTGCATATTCTCGCGACAATCACTCAATCATTTTTAATTACGCCACGAGTGGCGCGATGTTTTTTCATTTTCGAGATAAGATTTATTTTCGATAAATAATTTTGAAGGTGACATATATATATATATATAAACCATTGCACACATGTATAATTATGAATATCGAATAAATTGTACATATGTTATATGTATTTTGAAGATAATAAATAATGATACATTATGTATATATAAAATAATTACATTCGAAACGTTGGAATATTTTGACGCGTTAATTAACATGTACACTTGTAATATTTACGATACCTTTTGATATCATAACTTTATAATTATCTTTTTTTGTGAAATATCGAGGGAGAAGAGTTTGAAAGATTCTTAATATCCCACAAAATTAACATTACAGATATGAAAAGAAATCAAACTTTTTTTTTAATGCCACGATTTTTGTTCGCAAATTCTAGAAATATCAAAAGTCGTCAAAGTCACACAAAATAATGAGCCCTTGGTCCATAATCTGCGCCATAGAGCTGGGTTTCGTCCAGCAATCATCTCTGAAGGATGTTACCATCGTGAGTTACTGGGACTTGGATTTTCTGCGTACAGCGAAGAGAAAATCCTCCGACCAGGAAACAAATAATCACGAGGATGTGGTGTCCACGAATATTTTCGGCAATACCTGGCCATTCATCGATCCGGCGCAAATTACGAAAATCGTTTCAAGAAAGTCCATCCGAAAACGAAGCAAGAGAAGAAGCAGATGGTCGACGAGACGGCAAAGGAAACGAAACGTAGATAGGGATATCAACGATGACGCGAAGTCGACGACGAATCTTCCGATCAAACGGGAATCCCGACGTGAAAGTGACGACTCGACTGGATTATCGGGGAATAACTTTTCGTTGACGCAACTTCGTCGGGATGAAAATCGCGAGCGTTTGTCCGAAAGTTACGGATCGACCGACGAGGACGAAGAAGCGACATCGGAGACGAACTCGAACGAGATCGCTCGGATTGATTATTCCGGTGCCGGATATTCCAGATTTTACACGCCGACTTGTCAAAAGAAGGAGTTGCAAAATCAAGCGGAATTGCCGGAATATCCCGATTACTTTTCAAACGTTCTGCGGATAGACGATGACAATAATACCGAGGACGACGATTGGTTTCCTGACACGCAAATGAAATTTCACAAAAACGTTTCGCGCGAAATTAATACGCGTAGGTCCGTAAAGAACGGAAACACTTTAAGTAGCGACATCGTAGGGAAGAGATCGTCGAGGAGGAAGAAGAGTCATCGGTTAAGCAGCGAGTACCATTTCGAGACTGTAAAAAAGAGAAAGAACAAATGGTCGCGGCGGAAGAAAAAAGCTGGAAAATCCGTAATGAATGGCGCTTACAGCTTGTCGCGAATTTCCCGCGATTCGAAGGAAAACTCTCCGGAATGCAAATCAGACGCGGGAGATGGTTTCGCCGTTGACACGCGTGATACCGCAAAAATTGTACGCGAACGTTGCGATTGTAATGCGCGGCGACATTCTTACAATTTTACGAATGCCGTCTGCGCGTGTAAGAGGAATTTAAAGAGCACGGCCACCGCGATTATGCAGGATATTCAGGCGTACATACGTAGCGCGGAAATTGCGAAGGACGCCGAAAACGTTCGGAATTTCGCGACTTCCGATAGTCTAGACTTGGATAAGGATCTTGCTCGTCGGGATATTTCCATGGAGTACGATTGGATCGTGGAGGACAACGGCGAGATATCGTCCCAAGAGTCGAAACGATCGTACGATTTGACAGGATCGATGAATAACGTTAGCGCGAACCTCAGACGTCGCAAGAGACGACGATTAACCAGATTTAAGATCGACTACAAACTTGTCGACAGAACGGAAACGGCTTACCGCAGTGCCTTCCACGAATGCGTCAACTTTGATTTTCCAGCTTCATCCCCTCTGAAAATAAACATGGACGAGAGCTGGAGATCGGAGCGCAGCAACAGCGACCTCGAAATGATCCACTCATCCTGGCGCCAATCGGTATCCTTCACCGAAGAATGCGATAACGAATGTGATAGCGCGCTGCTACTGGCACGGAAAATTGTTAGCGACGATTTGGCGAAGGTTGAAAAATATTACGACGACGAGCGCGACATATTAGATGCCACGTGTTACAAATATCGCGAAATAAGCTATGCTCAGGAGTATACGATGAGGATTGACACTTCTCACGATTCGTGTTCGGATGACGAGAAATTTCAAGCGGATCGACAAGAGGAAACAAAGAGCACGTATAAGAAAAAGGGCAGGAATAATAGGAGATCACGTGACAAATATCGCGAAATAAGGTATGCTCATGAGTATACGATGAGGATTGACACTTCTGCTCACGATTCGAATGACGAGAGCATGGGCACGTATAAGAAAAAGGGCAAGAACAACAGATCACGTGACAATCGCGAAATAAGGTATGCTCATGAGTATACGATGATTGACACTTCTCCTCACGATTCGGATGACGAGAGCATGGGCACGTATAAGAAAAAGGGCAGGAACAACAGATCACGTGACAATCGCGAAATAAGGTATGCTCATAAGTATACGATGATTGACACTTCTCCTCACCATTCGGATGACGAGACATTTCAAGCAGATCAACAAGAGGATACAAAGAGCATGGTCACGTATAAGAAAAAGGGCAGGAATAACAGATTTTCGATGAATCACGGTTTTTTCAAGAATGCAAACAAGGTGATATATCCTAATATTCTAATATTTTATAATTATTATGTAGTTGTATGCGGAAGTTGGTCGCATGCGTTTTAAAAATTCCATAGTACCTCTTTCTAATACGAAAAGAATATATATGTATAGATATAAATTACGTATTTCCAGTAATATATTTCTGAAGTTCACTCTCTAAATTATCATTTGTCAAACAAAGTTACAGCTATTTAAAATTTGCTTATTTTTTTGGACATTTTTTTTATTCCTTAATTATTTTGAGGAATATAGTATATTTTTCTAAACCATACTTACTCTTTGAAATTTTCTAAGTAGCACTCGTTTAATTTCGCGAATCACTTTATAAATTAACATAATGTAAATATAAAATATAAATGAAATACGATCGAAATATATAAATAACACGATAGGTTCGAGTTACGAGACACGAAGGAGCCAATAGCAAGATACGATTAATGCGAACAAGTCCGGATAACAAGGGTACCGATTTGGAATATGATAGTGATAAAAAGAAATATGTTCCGCGAAGAATAACAAGAGCTTTGGTAAAGACTACTAAGGAGAATCTCGCCGGCAAGCTTGTATGGGGATACTGCTCAGGATGGTGGCCAGGTAAGTATATCGAGGATAATAATTACAGCGATATATTATATGCTTAATAGAACTCGCGGTTCACAGTTCACTATGTGACGTTTGGAAATTAATGGTGTTGGAGGAATTGTTATATAAAGCCTTCTTTTTTTCAGACGATGTATAATTCGCGAACTTCTATTTCTATTTTATGTATCATGTAATACATAAAAAACATTTAAAAAAGATATACAAACGTGTATAAATTATTAGACTCTTTTCGAAACAGACACTTTTCCGAGCTTAAAGGTGAGACGATTTTCGAAAGTTCTATTTTTTTAAATATAATTCTCATATAGTTTTTGGCATGTACAATCAATTTCCAAAAAATTCTGATAATTAAAACACTTAGAGAAAAATTCTTGTAAATAATAATTTTGCCAGAAAATGCATATTTTCGAGTCTAAAAATAAGACGCCAATCGATTTTTAAGAGTTCTGTTTTTCTAAAGCCGTGTCACCAAATGTTATTTAAAATTAATAAAACTATCGAAATGTGGTCAGTATCTTAATATTATCTCGATATTAATATATTTAATACTCGACTCTTATACTCGAACACTTGGCAGACAAAATAATTATTCAAAACATTTTGTAATAGTTTTAATTATCAGAATTCTCTAAAAAGGTAATTTACATGCCACACGTAGTGATACTTCTGCATTCAATGTAAGTTTTTATTATTAAAAAAGATGTTTTTGAATAATCTACAGATAAAAAAATTATTAAAAAATCTCCAATCTTTTATAAAAAAGATAAAACTTAAATAAATGTGTCTAATTAAAAAACGCAAAAAGGTATAATTATAAAGTAATCTCAACATAAAAATATGTTTGAGTCTAATAATCTGCACGCACGTTTGTATACATATATAATATACATATATAAAATATGTATGGCACATAAAATTGTAAAAATTCTGTCTTAATTTTTGTGTTTAATTTTTGGGAATGTTTTTTGCTCTCTCGAAGAGAAATATTTTTAAAGTCGAAACGTATAATGTTATAGCTCTTATCGTCGATGCCGAGCATGTAGGTATGGCTCCTACTTCCGGCAAGCTGTGGGTTTATTGGATCGGAGAATCACAAATATCATTGGTAAATTAGCGAATTATTTCGAGTATACAAATCTGTATTAAAAAAATGAAACGTAACTGATATGATTCTAGCTCAAGGAAAACACGCAAATTCAACCGTTTTCGACTAACTTGGAACATCGATTGACGCAACCACCTCGTAAAAATACTCGTACGCGCGCCATTGACGCAACTATACAGGTTCCTTTACTATCTTCGAGAATAAAATTAAAAAGACAATAAGAATTTACATAAGGAATTACACTTCCAAAAATGCGATATGCCGTTACAATTATTTTAGATGCTTCGCCAACGTTTCGACTGTACTCTGACAAAGCCTTATTACTATTGGATACGACGGAATATAACTGGATTCGAAAGCTGTAAGTCAGAAGAAATTTATTTTCTTATTTCTATTTAATTCACACACATACAACATAAATAATAAATTATAATATATTTGATTTAACAGTGGATGACCTAATATTTTATCCATACCCGAAAAATGTACAAGAAAGAGTGGATGTCTTAAAAGAAAAGAACGCCAAAGCTACCGAGAAATTTATATCAAATCAGAAAAGTATGTTTTCTTCTAGTTTTATGATTTAAGTTGTAATATTAATGTGTAATATATTTGAAGAGTTAATTTTTTACGTTCTCTCTCTGACTTTATATAGACTCACCAGAGACATCATCGACAAAGAAACAGGTTGTTGAAAAAAACAAAGATATGAATACAAGTTGGAAACAAATTGATGATGAGCGTTTACCTTTGCAAAACCAAAATCCTGGTGTAATAGCCTGGGCAAAAATCGCTGGACATTGTTGGTGGCCCGGTATACCTTGAGCGCATTTGTTCTATAGTTTTTTTATTTTTTTTTCTTGTAAAAATGTTCTTAGTCTTTTGAAAAAATGAAGAGCTTTTCTTGTTTTTACAGCGATGATTATTGATTATCGCGACTGTTGTTTGAAGGAACCGAGTTTTGGTTGTCAATGGATTATGTGGTACGGCGATTACAAAGTTTCGGAGGTCATAAGAATTCATATAAAATAAAAATTCAATTTAAAAAATTGTTTTCAACTAGTTTATATTTTGCATTTAATAGGTGCGTCATCTGGAATTTTTGAAATTTTACAAGGGATTGGAAAAAATGCGCGACCACATTCAAAATACAGTTAAACAGACCTATCTCGAAGGCGTACTTCAAGCTTCAAAGGTAAAAAATACGTTAAATTATTTATCTAAAATAATAAATAATTTCAAAAATAATTTATTGAACGGTGATATGTATGTGAAATAAATTCTTTTCCAAAAATTTCCAAAAATTTCTTGTACACGACAATTGAATCTGACTTTTTAGGATTATTGTTCGCGTTTAGGATGCACTACGGATAACTGGACTTTAGATAATGTCTTTGAATATTTTTCGAATGTGAATAATATTCACATACCATATAACGAATCGCAAGTTTCAGACTCTAACAAGATATATGATAAATATTCCGACGAGATAGTAAAAAAGATCAATGAATTTAAATCCAAGCCGGATATAGATGATGAACGAAAGAAAGATATAAAAACGAGTGGTGAGTTAAATTACGCAATGCATATATGTGTATATTATAGACTGATGCTCTCTAATACTAAATTTTTTATTCATATTTTAACCGCAGATGCTCTGCGTCGCGTAATATCAGGAGAATGCAAGATAGAAAAATTATGTTTGAAATGTTTGAGGTTTCCTAAAGATAGAATGGAGGAACATCCGTTCTTTATAGGATCTTTATGTAAAGAATGTTCGGTATGAGACAAAAGAGACACCACACTTTCATACATTTTCCACAATAATCATACAAAAATAATGTTTATTCCAGTCAAATGTATTTTTCATCGAAATAACAAGGGTTGTTTTATTTCAGTATACGTTCAAACCGTGTATGTTTGTGCATGGGAACGATGGCAAGTGCGTAAGTATATTTTCGGTAGTTCCGTGATGATATTTAAAGGCTGACCGCTTTGACGCTTTTCACGTTTAATTTCAGTTTTATTGCACAGTTTGCGCCTCCACCGGAACTGTTCTTATGTGTGACTCGGAAGATTGTCCACGGTTGGTTATTACCTCGCGTTTGAGAAGTTTTAACTTAATTCGTCGTATCACGGAATATATATTTATTTAATGCGTTATTGATTTCAGTGTCTATTGTACAGCCTGCTCGAAATTTCTCATATGCCCAAATTCGTACGAGAAAATGCTGTTGGAAGATCCATGGAAATGTTTTCTCTGCAGAGATGAATCTAAACAACTTGATATGTTCTTGAATCCGCGATTGGATTGGAAAGATAAATTTTCCACAATGTTCCGCACAGCCTCTAATCTCGAGTCCGATGACGTAAATCTTGCAAGTTATAAAAAGCAAAAGAAACCCATACGTGTGCTGTCACTTTTCGATGGTTTAAGTACTGGTAAGACAAACATTTGTTTGTTTTATTTTTTAATTATTTTTTTGTTAAATTGATCTTTATATAAATCATTGTAATTGATTTCACGTTGTAAAATTCATGCTTCCAAAAAATGCATTTCGTTATATCATAATAATATTATAGGTATTATATATAATATATCATATATATATATATATATATATATATATATATATATATATACATATAATGTTACGTGTGTGTGTGTGTATAATATAATTATAATATAATATTTAATAGGTTTTTTGGTACTTTTAAATTTGGGAATCGTCGTTGACGTTTATTACGCAAGTGAAATTGATAATGACGCCTTAACAATTAGCTCCGCTCACTTTGGCGATCGAATCACTTACTTAGGAGATGTGAGAGGCATAACGAAGGAAAAGATTCAAGAAATTGCACCGATCGATTTGTTAATCGGCGGATCACCGTGCAACGATTTGAGTCTGGTCAATCCGGCGCGATTAGGTCTCCACGGTACGGTCACAAATGTTCAATGTTTAAACATAATATTCATTCGAAACATTTGCTGCAGGCGATGATTCTGATCTACTTTTACGATCATAGATCCCAGAGGAACGGGAATTCTCTTTTTCGAGTACTGTCGAATTAAAAAACTGATGACGAAAGCCAACAAAAATTGCCACCTATTCTGGTTGTTCGAGAATGTTGCTTCGATGCCGAGCGAATACAGATTAGAAATTAACAAGTGAGTTTTGCGAATCGCTTCTTCAAAATAGCGGGTAACATTACATCACGCGAAATCAACTTGTTGCGTTAATTGCAGGCATTTGAAGCAGGAACCCGATGTTATAGACTCAGCAGATTTCTCGCCTCAACACAGACTGCGACTTTACTGGCACAATTTACCCTTTAATCCGTACATGCCGTTGTTTCAAAATCGACAGGACGTTCAAGATAAGCTTACACCGAATTTAAATCGTAAGGCTCTTTGCAAGAAACTGCGCACGGTTACTTGCAGAACGGGTTCCCTGTTACAAGGTATAAGATACAAGCGCGGCTGTTTTTGTTGAACAATTTTTCTATCGAAAAAGATTCGTCAAGATTCTTTTTTCTATTTTAGGGAAAGCAGAAGTAAAGCCAATCCTGATGAAGGGCGCAAGTGATAGAATATGGATTACCGAGCTTGAAGAGATCTTTGGTTTTCCGCGACATTATACGGATGTAAAGAATTTATCGGCCACAAATCGGCAGAAATTGCTCGGCAAATCTTGGAGCGTACAAACACTTACCGCCATATTGCGACCTTTATGTTCCTATTTTAAGTGCAATGAAGATAAGACGAGCAACAATAGTTCTGCCTTGTATGAAGATATCTTAACTCCGTATCGCGGTAAACATTTTTAGCAAAATTTCGATATCTAGCAAGCAAACAATCAGTATCCGGAATAATTTTTGTTTCGTATATTTTTGATTAAAGATTTGTATGGTGTGACAATAATGATAGACATTCATTTTATATGCCTAAAATTATTATTTTTTATCTATACATATATCTCCTCTTTTCTATGTTACTTGACAATGATCAATATAAGAAATTTGTATGTGTATACATATAACACATACTAAATCTATCATCTATGCATTGTTTGTTATAGACATTGATTTTTATCAAACAAAATAAAAATTAAAGAAAAAGCTTTAATAAAATTAAAAAACAAAGAGGAAAACAAGTTAATGAGAACCAAGCGCAAAAAATAAAATACGAATATTGTAAAAAAATAAAAAAAATCCTTTAATTAAATGTTTCGGTTTCTCGGACTATCTTCAATAAATGATATAAAAATCGTATACTTCCATCATGTGATAGTAAGACATTGCAAATATATTATCGTGCATAAAAAAATTAAAGAGAGAGCAGGAAATGCAATGAGTAGGAGAACATTTAAACTAAAGGATTTTTTTATGGGGATATTTATTCGCTTTCTGTACTTCGCTCTCATTAGCCTGTTTGCTTCCTTGTTTTTCATGGTCTTTTTTACAATTGTTCTCAAAAATATGTATATGTATATATATATATATATATATATATATCTGCAACTATGTTATATTCAGATAAAGCACTTGCTCTTTTTCATGAATAGAAAATCAACGAATATTTAGAAGGCGCAGGAGGTATACTTATATGTACGTTTTATTATTAGGATTTACTATGACTCCGATTCTTTCGATATCTCATCCGAAAGTACCCTTTGCGTGGTTCGCGACTCGTCGGCAACATTGCATTTCCACTAACGTAAGGTACGCCTGGATGTAACTGTAAAAGCATCGGCGGAACTGGAATGCAGCCCGCTAAACAGTTAACGTGCTGCATCATCGATATCGGCAATGGTGTGTTTATGAACACTTGCTGTTGCTCCATATCGACACCTCGAACTATTCCTGTATCATATGCGAATTATGCAAAATATCTGTTGAGAAAACTTATGTAGTCACAGTACTTACCGAAGCCATAACATGTACATAAGGGTGATCTTTGCGTCAATATCCGAAGAGTGGAAATATTCGTCGACTCTTGCGAAGATTCTTCTGTTAAATCTATACCACACAGTGCTACGATATTGCCATTTACAATGCTTAAAGCATGCGACTCCGGTATGCCGAACAATCGTTGAGGAATAATGCACAGGGAAGAGAAAGGCGCTCTGTAAACACATAACAGGACGGATTTATATTTCTGTTTAACGCTCGCTATTGTAATATAATGAAATATAAATACTGACGTATATGGTATTGCTTGGTTGATGCTGCGCGACAGTCCTGCGTTGTAGTGACTGAAATAACAAACGTTAAAAAATTAAAAATTGATTGAAATAGCAAAATATTAAAATTAAACATTAAAACCTTATGAAAGACAACATAGAACTTACAAAGAATCATCGTTGTTGCGTACGATATCACTGAGATAAGACATCATCATGAGCTCGCGTTGCTGATACGGTTCCATGTTCCACTGATTTGGTCCTTGATCCACGACTGTTTGCACTTCGGCCGGAGAATTAATGATACACAAATCGTGCTCGCACGACCTGTCCCAATTGATAAATTTCTCGTCGCAAAACGTCCACGAGCATTCCTGTATAAAGATAAGTTCTTTTTCAAGAATTCGAAGAATGAAAATCCATCAATTATATACAAAGAGATTTTATATTACCTGCTTATTTACGACTTCCGCGCTAAAGACATTGTCGTAATTGTTCTTCCTCTTCGACGACATAATCTGCACGATAATTGACGGTCTGATCAGTTTTATCGTGAAAATCGCGATATCCCAGCCTAGATTTTTCGCGAAACCCATCGTGTTCACCACAACAGGTAAACGGGACAGTTCAGGATCCCCCTTTAATCTCTCGATCAGCATCTTGATACCTTCCAGGTAGCGAGTGACGCATCGGGCAACGTTTACGTCGTCGATGAATAGCTGATAAACCGGTATCTTCAAATGCGTAAAACTTGGCCCCATTAATGGTTCCTCGATCAAACTGTACGAGATGCAACTAGGTGGTGTGCATTCCGCTTGACCGGGATCTACATCTATCAGAATCACCCTCGAACACTCTTGCAACAGAGTGTTGATCAGATAGCGCACGCTGGTGGATTTGCCGACGTTTTTCCCGCCAGCGATCAACGTGCAGGACCATTCGTTTTTGCGCCAGCGACTCAGCATCCTCTGCGCGATATCGATGATCACTGGATCGCTGATCAATCGTTTACAGGTGGAACTGTTAGATTGCTCGAAATGCAGCTCGGCCTGCAATATTATCTCGGCTCGCCTGGGATCCGTCCAAGGATAGTAGCAGGAATTATTTACGTCCGGGAACAATCTGAGGTACGAAAAGTAAGTTTTCAGAAACAACGTCAGATTGCTGTCGAAATTTTGCAACACGAGGACGGCCTCACCCGGCTGGACTTTGTCGATGTCGGCTTGTAGCTGACTCTCGGAATCTCGAGTGATGTCTTCCACGGCAAGTGCTGCCCAGATATCTTCGATATTGTTATCTACGGGATATTCCTTGCTGGTTTCTATAGCAATATTACTGTATCCTCGTGGAGAATACACTTCCGTGGTACTGGTCGACTTATTTAATATGTACCCGTAAATTTGTACAGCACCATATAATACTTTTACCAACAGCTTGCCGGTGAAGCATAATCTACTCTCGCTTTTCATAATAACTATAACTATGTTCCTTATGCAATAAAATGCTGGGGTCTTTTTATTCCGCGAAGACTGTACGCGATTTTGAAGATGAGAACTCCTATGCACCGTTTCTGTATTGCAATCTATCGATTTTTTACTCTTTACATTTCTGCACTTAGGATTTCTCTTAGGACTGCTTATGTTATTGATACTATTTTTTAATTTATTCTCACTTGTATGTTTGTTTTTGTTATTTTTATCTGTATTTGGTGGCACAGAAGATGTCTGTGTTTGCACGTAAGTATCATGCTTAGGATTTATAGATTTAGCGACTATAACGCACGCTTCATCATTGGAAGGTATATCTGTTTGGAAGATGTTACTGTAAAATTCTTTGTTACTGTAAAGTTCCTTATTTAAACATGTCTTTTGTTTAAATATCTGTGATAGATTAGATGACACATCATTTGAATGCATCTCCATCACAACTGGTAACTCTATATTTCTTTTTTCTTTTGGAGCAATTTGAGTCCAATCATCTGTTTCAGCTTCTATTTCCTCATCAGAATTATCCAACTTCCAATCATTGTCCATTTCCTTATTCGTCAGTTCCTCAGAACTATCCCATCTTATAGAATCAACTGTGGAATCTGAAATTCAAATAAAAAAAATTAAGATGTGATTAATTAAATGTAAAATTAATTAGATAACTATAATGACTACGTAATTTTCTGTTTAACTTAAGTACATACAAATTAATATAAATAAATAAAAAAATCTGTTTTTGCATAAAATCATGCAATTCATTAATAGTTACTTCATTATTTAAATTTTTCTTTCCGCAAAAATAAATGGTTTGATTGCTTCATTCGCAGAAGAACAAATTAACTCACTTGAAGGAATATTTTGTGCATTAATGTCCATATTATTAAAATTTACAGTAGTTTGTTTGTAAGCCAACATAGATTTGTTTTTGCCAACAGAATGTTTCTCTATTTTCCGTGTTGTCAGTTTTCTATAAAATTAAAAGTAAAACAAATGAAACAATATTTAATAACAATATTTTAAATAATGTTATATATTATCTTATAATATTATTCTGTACAACCATGTGGATACAGTGATTGGAGTATTTTTATTCACGTGATCTTGAATTGAATCATTTTACTCACCTTGCATTTTTTTTCAATTTAGCTTTCTTTTTCTTCGCCCCTTTACTATTGTGTTTAACTTTCATTAAGAAAGAAGGATATTTATCTATTTGTGTATTTATCAGTTTTTAACCTAACAACAGATCAACACCTATCTACGTTTTAATTTGCGAACGCAGCGCTATGGGTGTCAATTTAGATAAACTGAACAGCTTTGGTAGAAATAGAATAAAGAACTCCGCTTAGCAATACCTCCCTATTCTGAACATCTTTTCTAGGAAAATATTCAGAATAAAGAGATCGTGTCTCTAATCTAACCATTCCCCTAGAAAAAAATGTTCAGAAAAAAGAGGTGTTCAGAATAGAGAATCCATCGAGAACGCCCATCTATGTAAACCTCGTTGTTTTAGACAATTTTTTTATTATCTGCGACGTGCAACAAGAATATGTGAGCGAATGTGTGCGTTACGAGGGAGTGTTGTATTCGATATTGCTAACCACTAAAAAAAAGAATGGAGCTGTCAATTACGTACTGTTTTTGCGGTCGTTCGTACGATCCCCAGCAGTTTATGATACAATGCGACGTGTGCAAGGAATGGTACCACGGCGGGTAAGCATTTACGAGCTTGAAATACGTATTTCGAAACTTGGCGTCCACGACGCAACGACGTTCAACGACCCCGCGCGACGCTGTTTTTTTCGCGATCTCCCACGAATTCCGCCGATTTTCCGCGTCGAATGACACCTGTCAAAACGTTCGCCCGCTCATGCTCGCGAAATTCACCGCGGATTCGCCAGCATCGGGTTGCAAACAATGTTTTGTTGATAGTAACATAACCTGCACCAGGCCTCGTTGGTCTTTCATATCTAGCATCCTTTTCACGTTATTAACAGACGTGTGATACAGTGAGAATAATTGGAGTAACTGTAGAATTATTATCTCTAGTCAAAGCATTCGTTTATACATATATTGTGATTTTTTAAAATTTGTATCTATAATGTATTACGATTGTGAGTTTTGTTAAATTCTGAGTACATATAATGCGTCACATATTATTATTTTGTTCTTTCAGATGTGTGGCTCTGAAGGAATACATGACTACGGATCTTGATAAGTACCACTGTCCACGATGCGAAGCCATGTGTGGTCCTTCTCTCAGTAAGGCTATTGGGTGTCATTGCATTTTAAATATCTTTCAAAATGAAGTTTATATTAATTTGTATTAATTTTTATTCTTTTACAGTGAAACCTAGAATGAACTGGCATAGACACGATTATACTGAACGCGATGCGGATACAAAACCTGTTCAAACTGGAACTCCAACATTTATACGAGAGCTGAAGTCTAGACACTTTCCTAAAGCTGATGACATTGTGAAGCACGTGAAAGGACAACACTTAACTTTTCAGTATTTACAGATAAATGGCTTTGAAACTCCTATTATCATTGATGGGAAAGATGGACTTGATATGACTGTACCACCTTTGAGTTTTACCGTTCAGGATGTTGAGACTTATATAGGTAAGATAGCAGATGTAAATGTTTTTTGATTAAATATAATAGATGCTTTATTTACTACATGATATTATTGCAACATAATATATAAATGGATGGCTCTTATTTTCAGATGGTGATCGGGACATGGATGTAATCGATGTTACTAGACAAAGCAACATACGTATGAAATTAAGAGACTTTATAGAATATTACAACTCTCCCTCCCGAACAAGAGTGTTAAATGTCATAAGTCTTGAATTTACTAATACTGGGTATATCAATATTCATTGCCTTCCCATGTATATGGCTTTATAAATCTTTTCTAGAACATATGTATAAATTGACAAATCAAACAATTGCAGTCTTTCACCATTGGTTGAAGCACCGTACATCGCGCGCAAACTTGACTGGGTTAATTCGGTGTGGCCCCGCGATTGGCCGGAGGACAGTGAATTAAAGCGACCCGAAGTACAAAAGTATTGTTTAATGGGGGTCAAAGACAGTTTTACGGACTTTCACATTGACTTTGGCGGCACATCTGTGTGGTATCACGTGTTGCGTGGTGAAAAAATTTTCTATCTCATTAAACCGACACCGGCGAATTTGCAATTGTACCAGCATTGGATGTGCAGCTCGACGCAGAGCGAAACTTTCTTCGGGGATCAGGCTGACGCGTGTTACAAGTGCGTGCTTAAACAGGGCCAGACAATGATGATTCCCACAGGCTGGATACACGCGGTACTTACACCGGTGGATTCTTTGGTTTTTGGTGGAAATTTTGTGCACAGTCTTAACATTCCGATGCAAATACAGTGAGTAGAAAAATGTGTCTAGTTATCAATCTTGATTAAGAAATATTTGGTAATGAAATTGTTATTATTTTGTAGAATATATGAATTAGAAAGGAAGATGAAGACTCCAGCAAAGTTTCAATATCCTGGCTTTGAAACAATTAATTGGTTTGCGGCTAAGAAATTGCTCAAAGAATTGAAAGACTTGAATAATGAGGGGAAGAAGTGTCCAGCCTACTTTTTACAAGGTGTGAAAGCACTGCTTGGAATTCTCAAGCAATGGAACACAGATAAAGATGTAAGTTAGAATGTTTTATTTTATCATTTTCCTTTGAATAAAAATTAAAAAAAAAAAAAAAACGTAAAAAATTAAAATAAAAGAGATGAAATTAAAATCAACATATATCATTTCAGTATAGCATGATTAGTCGCGGTCAGATACCAGAAACAATAAATAGCCAGAAATTATTGAAGGATATTAGTAAAGAGATACGACACGCGGAACGGTACTTAATATCTTTAAATCCGCCGAAACCGGAACGTGAGAGTAAACGTAAGAAAAAGAAGCCATTGAATAAGGATTTCGTCGACTTTGATTACGCCGATAAAATAGCGGACAACGCCTTCAAAGCTACGTTAAAGGAAACGAATAAAGTAGAACCTGCTTTGATCGAGCAGCCATTACTAAGACCACCGTTAAAACTTACATTACCGAAGCCTATTACGTTTTCCGACGTTAAGGCGACTGTAAACAAACCGGTGGACAAACCCGTCAATAGCAATAAACGACAACTGTCCAAACCGGGAAAACAGAGTCCTACCGTAATTCGATTTAAGCTCGGCAACAACGAGGTTGTCAGAAGTACGAACGACAGTATAAACGCTTACGGTGGTAACATCACGACCGATCACACAGTTCTCCGGGCAGCGAAGGAATCTCTTTCCTGGAATCAGACGTCATCCGTATATGATTTTCACGATGGCAGCAACGAGAGCGATTACGGTCTCGTGATAGACGAATCTCAAAAGCGAAAACGGCCGCCAAAGTCGAACGTGCAGAAACGATTCAAGCGCGATTACGACGGCGATGTTGACGTGCTGAACGATGCGCCGAAGAATGGTATAGAAGAATTGTTGAAAGCGTCGGCGTACACCCTAGGAAACGGCGCTCAAAGAATAGACGTTGCGTACGTATAGATTTAGACCAACATTAATTTTTATTTAAACTGTAATGGCTACAATAAAAAATATAATTCCAGGCCGTCGACTGTGATACAACAGTACAGTCAGTCCATGCCACCTCCCACCGGGTAAGTTAATTCAATATAGGACTCTCTGTTTCATATTAGACTTTGTAGTTTGTCGCACATTTTACAAACTTTCTCGATTAATTTCAGAGAGTACTTCATAAAAAGTTTTAACGAACATTTGTATAGTATTAATTGTTGTAACTCTGTTATTATTATATTATACTACTATATATTATTATATATTACTGTTATCAACTGTCATGTAGCTCTATTACTTTCTTTTTAAACTTCTTATAGTTTTACTTCTTTCAAGCATGTGTAAAAGATTTTCATTTGAATGTTTATTAGGAGATTATTGTAGATTTTAATCGTACAGAGGAATGAATTTGATTTCTTGGTGTCTTAGTATTTATAAATTGAAAACGATCAGTTCCGACAGGGCGTCACCGTCCACGCGGGAGGCTATCGCCGGGATGTTGTCGTTTAGCCAGCAAAGTTACTCGACCACGAATAATTCTGCAAAATCTTCGAGATCTACCAAAAATCAACAAAATGATAACAATGACGATGATGATCAGTCGATAGAAAATATCGACAAGGTTCACCAAGATGATGATTTTAGTATGTATACAATTAAAGGACCAGTTTAAACGAAATATATATCAATTTATTTTTCTCTTGCGACGACGTTACTAAATTCATGTTATTCGCAGTTTATCCAGCTTTAGACGCTTCTGATGACGAAGATTACATCTTCAAACCTAAAGCAAAAAGTCAAATAGACGAAGCGTGGAATCCGAAAGCCAGAGTTGGTCCCCTTTTACCAAAGATGAATCGACCAGCAAGGGAAGGAGTGAAGAAAACATCTGTGGAAAAGGGTTTGGAAGCAGCTGCAGCGAAACGAGCAAAACAATCGGTAAATTAATTATTATTTTGGTTAATATTTTATTTTATTCTATTCATAATCATTATATTTGTGCATCTTACACATGTACAAATACATTAAACTCCTTTCAATCGTTAAATATGTACTTAAATTATATACTTGAATTAATCTAATACATTAATTCAGTTAAACATATATTCAGTATGTGTGTGGTGTGTCTATGTGTGAGTGTGTGTAATATTTTTTTATATCATTTATCATTTAATAAATATCTTTTATCATTCATATAACTTTCCTTAAACATCATAATTCCATGTTTCTTGCATACATTTTACATAGGATGAATACCTGGATAACGACATGGACAAGATTACCAAGAAGAAATTGGTAGGCATAATTCGACTTTTGCAGTTTAATCTAAAATTCTGTTGTAATGTTATATTTTTCTATAGTTTTCAGATTGTGCATATTTTTTAGTTTTATAATTATGTTTCTTGTAGTTACAACTGTAATGTTTAACTGTAATTCTGGTGAATTTTTTTTTTGAGTTGTCATTTTAATGTTAGTATTTTCTTTATATTGCACATATGTGATCATTTAGCTGTAGTTTGACAATATTAATCTACAAACCAAGTTATAGAGTATATTTGAATATTTTTGTTGATAACTCATTCTATATATTTTCTTTTCTGTGTTCATCAATTATTTTCTTTTCTATGTAGTTATTAAATCAAATCAAAGAAAACTTATAATGTG